CGATTCATATTTAATTATTTAACTTTTTCTAAGTGGTGGTGGGGAGTACCGCTTTTACTCCAACAGAGGACGAAATGTATAGGTGTGTTTGATTTGAAGCAGCACCGTGCAGAACGATCGGCGTATGACATTAAAGTACCGCGAGAGCGATTCGAAAGCATGCAGAGCCGTCTGCTCTCTGTAGCTCTCGAGGTGCTTTGATGTCATACAACGATCGGTCATGTCATATCCGTTTCAAGCCAGCGCAAGGAAGCAAACCATGGCGGAGGCAGAGGATGAAATCTTTGAGAATTCTTTCTGCACCTTCACGTTTTAAATAGCAAGTGTGGAATCACTTTGGATTATACACACTGCTGGGAAAACATGACTAAAACGTTATGCAAAGTAACAAAGCACTTTTTTATTTCAGAGTATTTTTTCCTGCTCATTTTGTTTAACATTTGACTATAGTATACATGTGCAAGTTCATGGTTCAAGGTACTTTAAAATATACACTGTCTGTGTATGCTCCTGAAATGAATGTTCAGAAAGATGTGATGCATTGATTTGTTAATATGACTCATCATATACATTCTGTTTAAGGGTATGATCAAGTATTTTCCATTGTCTAGTCTTTAATAAGCAAACAAAAAAAATCACAATAAATTGTACTATCGAATCGCAATAGTTATATAATCACAATACTCACTTGTCGCAATATATATCGACTCGGCACAGTATCGTAATAGCATTGAATCGGCAGATTAGCTTATCATCCCAGCCCTAATATTTACTGTTATCTGCGTTATATTTCATCTGCAACAATATTGTGAACTTTCACAAACGTTTAGTCTTTTGAATGCATTATTATGCAAACACATGAGGAGAGTTTTCAGCATGATAGACCCGTAATTGGTAGATCAACGTGCCTCTTTATTTCTCTCCAATATGGCAGGGAACTGAATTAATCAAAATGTGGATGGTGTTAAAGGGATAGTTCACCCAAAAATGAAAAGTAGCCCATTATTTACTCACCCTCAAGCCATCCTAGACGTATAGGACTTCTTTCAGATGAATCCAATCGGAGTTATATTAAAAATTGTCTTTGATCTTTCAAGCTGTTTAATGGCAGTCAGCGTGTGTTGCAGTTCATCAGTCCAAAAGAAGTGAAATAAAGCGCATCCATCCATAATAAAAAGTGTAGCTAATCGATGCATTTTTGTAAGAAAAAGATCCATATTCAAAACATAATAATCACTTTAATCTAGCTTGTGCCAACAGTTGTACGTGGAAGCAGCTCCGGGAGGATGACGTAAGATGTTGGCGTTGCGCATGCGCATGCGCCGGTGAATCTCGTGAAAATCAACGTTTATTTACAGGAGCTAAGGAAACAAAGTTTCCTTACTTTAGCAAAGGAAAACCAGTCTCCTCTCGTCTTATATCGAAATCCTCCGACATTCTTCTTTACAAATCCTCGTTTTGTACTTCTAATTCCTGACCTTTGTTTTGTTTTGATCTCTCCCCTGTGCTTCCGTGTTCGTCACTTCTGAGCGGCGCATGCACAACGCCGACATCCTACGTCATCCGCCCGGAACTGCTTCCGTGTACAACAGTGAGCGCAAGCTAGATTAGACTGATGAACTGCAACACCCACTGACAGCCATTAAACAGCTTGGAAGATCAAATACAATTTTTAATATAACTCAGACTGGATTCGTCTGAAAGAAGAAAGTCATATACACCTAGGAGGATGCCTTGTGGGTGAGTAATTCATGGGCTAATTTTCATTTTTGGGTGAACTAACCCTTTAACTGTAATAAGATGATTGACAAGGTAGTTTAAATGGACGCATGGAACTAAGCAACAGAGCAGACCATTAAAGACAAAGTTATGACTAAATAGTATGTCCCAAAGCTTGCCTACTATTCTGCTACATACTTAAAAGTATGTACTTTTTCTTCACAAAAAGAGTATGTACTTTAGGGCATAGTATAAGTTGGCAAATTGGGATGCAGTAAAAGTGTTCTAAAATTGGCTAAAAAGTCTGAAATCTGCGTAACCACGTAACTTCACAGTCACCAACAAGTTACTCTGCATTTGGCACTTAATTCCAGTTAGTTCCTAATTGAACAAATATATCATGTACATTTTACCAGAAAAACAGCTTTGAATTCGAGAAGACTTCAAGAAGACTTCATAGAATTTCCTTGAAATGGTCAGAGAACAACTGAGACTTTTACAAACAGATATTTATATTTACCATTAACATGCTGGGTATGTGATAAATTCCTGAAATATTCATGGTCCCTTATCAATAATGCATAACAATATATAATGTTTTATGTATCAGCAAATGTATGCAATCACACATATTTCTAAGTAAACAGATAATTAACAGTTAAGCATTTGATATGCCGGAGAATACAAACATCAACATGCAGCATATTAAATAGTGATTTAATCTGTGTGTTTTTTTCTCATACACTATACAATTAGTATATGAAGTTGAAATAAAACTGTATTAATAAATGTACTTCATCCTCATAACGTGATGCATTTCTGAATGAAACCATGTTGAGTGAAATAATGTTATTGTGGTGGGGGTTATTATGCAGATTTGAGTTGAAATTTTAGTTTATGATTTTTACTGGGTTCTTTTTTTCCCCAGAAGTAGTTATTATTATATAAACAAATAAACACAAATATATAAATATATAAATAAATAAATAAATAGATAAAAATTAAAATTAAAAAATACATTAAAAAAATACATATATATATATATATATATATTTAAAATTATGTGCACTGATAAACCATAAACATTAAGACCAGTAGAATTCATTGAGGAAGCAAACAGGGTCAATCAGGATTTCAAGTTGCCTTTACGCATTGGATTAGACCATACTATGTGCGGGAATCCCTCAAGAGACTCACACTCTTTAGTCCATTTGTGCTGCCTGCAGATTTATACATTAAAAAAAACGAAACAAAAAACACGCTTATCAAATCATACTGTGCAGCTCATACTGCATTCAGAGCTTATGTATAATTCATCACTGATATATAACATTTCATATTAGGGGGCCGTCAGCCTCTTTCTACCCGTCATTTCTTTTACAATTTTTCGCAGTCTCTCTCTCAGCTCAACACATCTTTTTAAAGCAAAGTATTATAAACAGCCTAGTGGCCTCTAGCAGTGCAGCTCTTTCAAAATTCATCAATGAAAGAGCTGCCCCCTCTGCACCATATCAGTTTACCTTTATTTCACAAAAGCGTGACAAGACATACATTATTAACCAGTTGCTTGAACGTCCAAGCACACAACTCCCCAAGCAAATGCAGAGAAACCAAAACAAAAATGGACCCTTGAATATGAAGCTGGCTGTTTCACAAAAACCCCTCTTTAGAGAAGCAGGGCTGCACACTGTGGGTCTTGTGACCGACATTGAGGGGAAGTGTGAAAGTTCACTTCCTTGCTTCAACACCAAGGACAATGGGTGGCTGGGTGGGTCTCTCCACCTTTATTTTCTTCCTCCTGTCTTTCATCCTGTAAATGGTACAGCCATCCCATCCGGGAGAAGACAACAAATGGTGGTAAGTGTTCTGAATGGACTGCTTGTGTCAAAAGCATTTGTAGCAAGCGTGAAGGTACCATATCAAAAACTTTAAAACGCAGTATCTCAAAGCGCAAAATTAATTGTAAATTCAGAACCAACATGGAGATTTATTTTTAGGAAAATTAAAACAAATTCAAATCAGATGTCAATCAGTAAATGAATCTAAACAAATCTTGGAAAACTGATTGAAAAGATTCAAGTCACTGGGATGAATCCGTTTCCACCCATATTTGCTGATGGGAGTCTAATTACTGCCAAACTACCCATAATCTCAAACAAAACCAAAGTAGGATCAACGACTGCAACAACAGCATGTTTGGTACACCATAAACAGAGAAAAGTGAAAATGTTTATATCTATATACAGTGGTGTGAAAAAGTGTTGGCCCCCTTCCTGATTTCTTATTTTTTGCATGTTTGTCACACTTTAATGTTTCAGATCATCAAACTATATCTATATCTCTATATCTATATCTATATCTATATCTCTATATATCTATCTATATACAGTATATATACAGTATATATCTATATCTATCTCTATCTCTATCTCTATCTCTATATATAAAAATTTCACTTTTCGCACACGCACGCGCGCGCACGCACGCACGCACGCACGCACGCACGCACTGCAACAACAGCATGTTTGGTACACCATAAACAGAGAAAAGTGAAAATGTTTATATCTATATATATATATATCTATATCTATATCTCTATCTCTATATATCTATCTATATACAGTATATATACAGTATATATCTATATCTATCTCTATCTCTATCTATCTCTATATATAAAAATTTCACTTTTCGCACACGCACGCGCACACGCACACACGCACACACGCACACACGCACACACGCACACACGCACACACGCACACACGCACACTACATTAGCGTTAATATTTTTTTCTTTTTCTGGAAAGGAATTATTACTTATATTCAGCAAGCACGCATTAAATAAATCAAAGGTGACAGTAAAGACATATACAAATAATTACTTTAAATATATTCTACTCTTGAGTCTTCTATTTATCAAACGATAGAGAAAAAATATACACCACAGTTTCCACAAAATGTTTAGTAGCTTAGCTGCTTTCAACACTGATAATAATAAGAAATGCTTGTTAAGAACCAAATCAACATACTACAATAGTTTCTAAAGAATTTTTGACACTGAAGACTAGAGTAATGGTTGCTGAAAATTCAGTTTTGCCATCACAGGAATAAACTACATCTTATATCAAAACAGAAAACGGGTATTTTAAATTGCAATATTACGGTTTTACTCTATTTTTGATTTAATAAATACAGCCTTTCGAATGGTAGTGAAGTTCTGAATACAGGTTTGTATACAGTAACAGAAGATAACATTTGTACATCAAGTAGTTACTTACGATTCACACGTCTGGCAGCTCAGAGTCCTTCAAACGTGGTTCTCCACCTCTGACTTCTGTGAATAAAGAGGAAAAAAAGGCATTAAAGATAATCGAACTTCCTCTTGTTGTTATGAAGCATTGACGGAACAAACCTTAATTTCATTCAAAATGCTGCAGAATAATGTGACACCTCATTTCTAGTACATATTTTGATTACTACTACTGAAGTCATCATGAAATGTTAGTGTGAAACATCATGAAATGGAAACATCGCCTATTTTCTAAACACATGTTATTAATCTTATTGTGAAGGATTCATCCATCCATTTTTTTAACCTTATTTTTACCTCATAATCTGGTGATGTATGCCAATCATTTAGTCTGCTTAAACCCCAATCCTTCTTAACGATCGACTACAAGCTCGTATTTACTAGGGATGCACCGATATGAAAATTTTGGCCGATACCGATAACCGATAATTCTTTATTTTTGAAAGCCGATAACCGATATGTTGGACGATAAATCTATATCCAAATTTTTATATACTTTTTGAGAGCCTGATTACAAAAAAGGTCTCATCATTAAAAACCACATCCCAAACACTTCAACATAAGCAGCCTAGTTTGAACAGTGTACGTTTTAAAAATAATTTTACTCTCCCATTACCAAATTTTGTCATAAAAAAGTCTTACAAATAAATAAAATATTGCATAAATAATGCAAACAAGTCATTGGACATCATTACACGTGTAAAGAATCAAAATGAATGCACCATAGATCAATAAAACGGAATAGCCTCTGCACGGACAATAATTAAATGACTTTAATTACTAAACCATATTGCTGATGAAAATAATAATAGAAAAATACAAGTGGTTGTTATTATTAATAATGTATCAATGATTTTGAAAAAGTAACAAATTAATACCACTATTTTAAACAGCAGCCGTTGAGCTGCACGTGCTGAAGCTGAAGAGCGGAATGAACATGGTAAACTGAAGCGTTTTGCTGGCAGCTTATTTAACTCAAGGAAATGCATCCTGAGATTAATATTAATACAACATAAACATAATATTACAACTTATATATGTACAAAATGATGCAGTTATTGCGTGCTATAGTCAGAATGTGTGATCCTGTTGTGGATGCGCTCTTCCCATAACAACGCGCTGAAACACGGCAACTAAACCCAAAGAATGCACAACGTTTTATTATAATAATGTTCTCATTAGAATGTTATATACACGACATTCCCAATCATAGTTATTAATGTTGTGCACTGCTGTTTGAGTTTATCACCGGTAAACTGAAGCGCTCTTTTAACTTAACCAAACGCATTCTATATGAGATAAATCAGATATACATCAAATAAACACAATATTACAACGTACAATTGCACAAAAGGCTGCAAACGAACAGCGCGCATCTGAAGTGTCTCTGAAGGAAATAATGCATTATTTATCGGCTTTAAGATATCGGCCAAATTTTCTTATCGGGCCGATACCGATAACAGAAAAAATGAGCATTTATCGGCCGATACCGATATGGTGCGCTTTCTCCAAAAAAAAGATGTATTTTATGTCATTGAATGAAATCTGCAAATATCTTGAGCTTGTGTTAATCACAGGCCTCAGTTCGGGCATTTAATCAAAAACTCATTTAAAAACCTTTTGACTTTTGGACGATGACAGCGTAAAGTAGGGCTGCACGATATTGGAAAAAATTCACATTGTGATATTTTATTTTTCTGCGATATACAGTGGGTACGGAAAGTATTCAGACCGCCTTAAATTTTTCACTCTTTGTTATATTGCAGCCATTTGCTAAAATCATTTAAGTTAATTTTTTTTCCTCATTAATGTACACGCAGCACCCCATATTGACAGAAAAACACAGAATTGTTGACATTTTTGCAGATTTATTAAAAAAGAAAAACTGAAATATCACATGGTCCTGGGGTAGGGCTGTGGCGGTGAGGGAATTTCCCTTGCGGTAATTTTGAGTGGCTCAATAGCACGGTATGCGGTATTATCGCCATACACACACACACAGATATAGATAGATATCTGTGCGTTTATGTGTTACGATATAACTAACAAGGTCATATTCAGAAACCAATGAAACCGAAACCAAATAGCGTTGAAACAGGAAGTGAAGTAAACCGAAGAGAATGACGAAATAACGGTCCACATAACAGAACACGAACCTGACAATAAGATCGTTAGGCTATCGTTAGCCTATATGTATAGCAGTTAGTTCTGATCTGATCTTCTAATCTGACTGGACAAGAGACTTTCTATTGATATTTCCACCTGCACGCACGCGTTCTAGACGGGCTGTCAGTCAGTGCAGCTAGATTGTTGCGCCACAAGGTGGTGGAAAGGGACTGTCTTTGAGTGAGTCTTTAAATAGTTCATTCAACTACACGTTCAAAAACGCTGATTCTTTCATTCAAAGAGAGACATAATGAAACGCGCTGTTGAAATCATTTTAACTTTGAGCGCCACTTTAGAAGGCTCAGCTGACCAGCTATGCGTCGGTGCTAAGACAGAGATTTCGCTTTCCTTGGACATGACAACATATTTTCACAAATATATATGACTCGGCCTGGAGGACAGACGCAAGTAATCGCACACACTCAGTTGATCTCTCTCTTATTCACTGTCTGTTTAGGCTTCTTAAGTGCAAATCTACGAAGCCTCTGTACAAATCAGCATGGTACACATTATGTTATCATTACTAGCTTGTTTAATATTCAGTCCACATGCATGAAGTGTAAAACGAGAAGGGCATAACCTTACGGAAAAAGAAAACACGCAAAAATCGCGGTTGCTGCGGTTCTTGCATTCCTCTGCGGTTTGCTCTTCAATATCGCGGTATTGCGGTTATCGCGACAGCCCTAGATTGGGGTGTTTTTGTTGGCAAGTAAATCAGCATAGGAAATAAACAAATTACAAGCATAGATAAATATAACAGAGCAAAGATACAAATTAAATAAGCAGTGCTTGATATGTTTCAGTTAAGTCTAACAGTATTCAGGTACAGAAATTGAATAATCAAATGTAAAATAACTGCATAGTCTTCACTGTATAAATTAAATCTAATAAATCTGTGTTAAAGCAACAATTTTTCTTTCTTTTGTTGTTTGATTAACATTCATGGCACAGAAAGCCTCAGGAACGCTGTAAACCAATATACTGCCACACACATCCATTTTCTTTCTCAATTGTTTCCCTTCACTTAAGCATCTGTGATCTGTGTTTACAAGGGTACTTGCAGAGCACAGTATTTCAGGCACAAATAGACGCTGAAGTGAACACAATTCAGTGTACACGTGCATCTGCGTGGCTCTCACCGTGTCTACAACCAATCAGAATGCAGTGCACCTAAATGGAGCAGGAGAACAGACCAGGCGGGCATACAAATGTAACGCCAGGTTCACACACTCCGTCTGTGGTGCGTATTTTTTCCGCGCCCATGTTAACGGATTGGAGCGTTCACACTGCACATGATTGCACTCCGGCAGTGCGCTCCAGGAGTGGTGCGCCTGCAGCAGTTCTGCTGCGATCGTTTCCGCACTGAACCTATTTCTGCTGTGCTGCACGCACTGAATTAAAGTGACAGCGCATTATTCGCGGTAAAAAATAACATGGATTGGCACGGAAATTTAGTAATTACACCATAAATGCATATAATTAAAGTCTACTGTTTCACAGTCAACATGACTTTTTGGCTAGATTTAAAACAAGGAAAAGTGCACTTTTAGATAAACAAGGCAATAATAGATGGCACTCGTGGTGGTAGTTAAACAAAGTTATATTTATTGAGTTTAAATGTGAATGTCTATGAAAGATTGTATTACTGTACTGTGATAAAAGAGAATAATATTGCACAGCCCTAATTGCCGTCTACACTGGATGCGGCACGGCGTGACAAATACCCGACAGTAAACTGATGCCGCATTCTATTTATGACGCACTCACACACAGTTCAAATGATTGTCTCGTCCAGTTTAGACCGACTTTGGGGCCATCCAGCCGCGCCACTTTCTCCTTCTTTCCAAAGCGCTCGGGAGCTTGCGCTTTCGTGGTGTCTGCCATTGCTAAGCAACCGTGACCTGCGCTCTCCTCGACGACAGGGAAGTTTCAGCAAAGGATAAATGGATTTCCAGCACTGAAAGTCCCTTGCAGTAGCTCTGCTGCTAAATGCATTTAAAATGGGTATCTCCGTACAGCTGTCGCGTCCAGTGTAGACACCGTGTCTGTGTGTGAGCAAAGAAAACAATCAGTATAAATATAACGATCAGTATACTAAACATCGTACATCCTGCGATGTGACTATCGCGGATGCGCACATCGCGATATCGATGCTGAAACGATATATCGTGCAGCCCTAGCGCAAAGAGTCAAAACATGCATCCAGATTACACAGAAAATAAGGTATGACCTGAAATGCACTCCATGATGCTGTTCAACAACACAGTAGGCGTGACCATAGAGAACAGGGGCCACTGAGAGGAAACCAGCTCATACACACACCATTCATTGTAACTTATACCACAAGAAATGTTTTCATACCCGAATTCCTTCTTTCACTCTGTTCCCAGAGGTAACATGAGGACAGGCAACTTCCTGCTGGCTTAAAGACAGAGAGGACACAAAAAAACAACAACAAAAAACACCTCTAGCACTTCGAGACTAGATGACATGTGACCATCTACATGTACCTAGGGAGAAAAAATTACAAAATATAAAAAAAAGAGGTGCCTTAAATTGAAACAACAACAATTTCCCAGGATTTTTCTCAAGAACCTTTTACAACATCGACAACAGGGGGGTTGAAACAGCATTGGGCAAGAGTGATGAATATTAGATAAGACAGACAAAAGAACAACCATTGGATAACAGTCTGCTTTTAGTATGAGTGCAGTACAGCTGCCATGGGTTTTCCTCTGTACTTGGAGTCAACTCTATATGCACCACATGAGTTCCCAAGCCTGACAAGTTTGATATTTTTGAGCGGAATTTATGTTTCACCAGCAAATCTCTTATTTTTGCATGGTTCTAATTCAGTT